CAGACTGTTACACCTGTGAACCCACGCCTCTTGTACACCTGCTAATTACCCCCAACTTGTACATCTGCTCTTACCTGTTGGTGTTGCCAGACCAATTTTTTTTCCTTGATAAAGTTTATTTAGTTATTTTCTAGATATATGTCTTTGTTATATATAGTGAAACCTCTATTTAACGGACAATATATGAGGGGTTTGTCCTTTACACTGAAGTCCGTTCAAGATGAAACTTCCTTCTAACGGACTACAGTATATGTAGGTAGTCCGTGAGAGAGAGAGACAGAGACAGAGACAGAGACAGAGACAGAGAGAGAGAGAGAGAGAGAGAGAGAGAGAGAGAGAGAGAGAGAGAGAGAGAGAGAGAGAGAGAGAGAGACCATCATCGTAGCCCTCGTCAGCCTTAAGTCTTCCCGTCCTCCTCCTTAACTTATCCCCTCTCTACCCTGTATGTTGACGACAGCGCCTCTCACCACCTATACAGCGATACAACACAGAGTATCAAACAGCTACACCTCACCCCCTACAACCTCCACCACCAAATATATCATGATTTTTTGACACCTCTGCACTCTGATTCCTAATAACAGTGTATACCATCTAATATATCACACCTGTATACTGTATTGCCCCTCAACACATCCGTACCACACTTACCAACACCTGTGCATGAGGATCATCAATATACCTGATTGATAAGTAAATCCAAGTAAAAATAAGTATTCTTACACTTTTATGTGATCAATATGACACAACGGACGAAGGATTTTGACAGCCCTACCGAGACAACAGGAGTCACAGTGTTCAATGTGGAATTCATCGACTCTCTCCGTGAAGATACTTTTTTGGAGCGAGTATTACATATAACCATCATATGACCTATCTTATATATTAAAAAGTTTCCCCCATTGGTGTCAACACAAGACAGAAGCAAGGAAAATACAAATCCAGACGTCATAAAAAGGGGGTCCTGGTGCCCATACCCCCCTCTCCATCCCTTCTCTAATAAACTTTAAACTCTCTCCCTCAATATAAACACAACCAATTAATTAACTGTAAGAAACAACCAAATAATTAACTACCAAACACAACCAACAACCATTACACATAGACCATCAAGGCAAATCCAGACACTATACAAAAAAGAGGCTCTGGCTATCGTTCACCCCCCTTTCCCTCCTCCTCTTACCCCTCTCCTCCCTTCTCCCACTCCTCCATCACCCATTACTTCTTCCCCTCCCGTCCTCCTTCCCCTTATTCCCTCCCTCACCCCCTCCCATCTCACCCAGTCATCCCTTCCTTCTACCCCCAACCCACCTCTTCCCTTCCTTCCGCCCTCCTCCCCTCACCCCACTTATCCCCTTCCTCCCATCACCCCACCTCTTTCCTTCCTCCCGCCCTCCTTTCCCTCTCCCCACCCCCACTCCTCCCACTCCAGCTTACCACTCCATTACACTGAGAAATTGGGTCAGCAATGGGCCTGACGTAATAATTGGAAATGTCGACCCAGCCAACGGGAATATGAAGCAGGAATTAACTGTCACTGTTCATACATGATCCCAAACCTTCTGATTAGTTTACCTCCTGTATCTCTCCCTTATACCTTATAATTCCTAATATAACACCCTAATACTGTACCTTATACTCCCTGATATATCTACCTTATACTCTGATATATCTCTCTTAACTCTGATGCATCACCCTTATACTCCCTGATATATTTACCCTATACTCTGATATACCTCCCTTAAATCTGATACATCACCCTTATACTCCCTGATATATCTACCTTATACTCTGATATATCTCCCTTAACTTTGATGAATCACCTTTATACCCCATGATATACTTACCTTATACTTAACCCTGATATATCACTCTTATACTCTGGAATATATCTCCCCTCGACTCCCTAATATATCACCCTTATACTCCCTGATACATTATCCTTATACCCTTAAGTGTTATAAGTGCTAAAGAAAAGACCCTGGGGAAGACGGGACGATCATATTACCATCTTATAAAATGTTGGTAAATCTGCAGGAGGGGAAGAAGGGAAGGAGGGGGAAAGAGGTGGAGGAGGGGAAGGGGAGGGAAGCGGGAGGAGGGAAGGAGGGAAGGAGGGGAAGAGGGGAGGAGGAGGAGAAGGAGAAAGGGGAAGGAAGAAGAGGGGGAGAAGGGGGAAGAGGGAAGGAGGGAGAAGAGGGGGAGGACGGGGAGGATGGAAGGAGGGGGAAGAGAGGGAGGAGGGGGAGAAGATGGTATTACAAAAAGGGTGAAGGAGGAGGATAAGGGGAAGAGCAAGAAGATGAGATGGTATAAAAAGAAGGATGGAAGAAGAGGGGGATAAGGAGGAAAGAGAGGAGGAAGAGGAAAGAAAAAACTAAGAGGAGGATGAGAAGGAAGATAAGGAGGTAGGTGATCTAGATTGGCCTCATTAACTGCCTTCATTAGTGGTTGTTCAGGATCATTAAAGGCGAGTATTCATAAAAGCAGTCATTACTGAACCACCACCGGTCAATTAATGACTGTGTAGCTGTTGACAAATATCGCCAACCTATGTATATCTATGTGCAATATATGTGGTATACATCCATTATACATATATCCATAAATGTATATAGGTAAATTATATACATATTCAGTACCTCACGTTTCATTAACAATTAAGTCAAACATTTTATGTAAACAGACAAGAGCTTACAGTTCTAACTCACTATGAATAGTTAATGACAACATTTAACCCGTGAAAACAAAGAACACTTTTCACTTTAACTAAAATATATAAACTACTCTCACGTGTATATATATATATATATATATATATATATATATATATATATATATATATATATATATATATATATATATATATATATATATATATATATATATATATATATATATATATATATATATATTATGTACAATATTTGCTCAACATCAATATTGCAGGATGGAAGGTATTGAAGCACCTGTTCAATATGCAACATTATGGACGCGGTTACCGGATGTTGCGTTATACAGTATATTACAGTATATTACAGTATATTTCAGTATAAGCGTCATTGTAACCCTTCTTGATACATGACTTAATCACTGCATTGTAAGTTTTTGTCTTGCCTTTAACAAGCTCAAAGGCGTGTTAATATAGACGGTGATAACAACCTATTATAGCGTATGAAAATATTGTTTACTTTTTATATTACTGCCCAGACTTTATCCATCGTGATCAGAGACTTTGTTAGGTTAGGTTAGGAAAAGCTTACAGGTGCAAACTCGAAGCTTTTTAGCAGTCAAGGCACTACAAGCGTAAAGAAACTTAAAAAAAAAAGAACTTAAGTGTTTAATGGACCAAAACACTCAACCAGATTTTGTAAGGAAATGCTTTTGAGTGTATTCCTGAAGAGTCACTCAGTTCAACAGACGTCGAGGTTAGGTTAGGTTAGGTTAGGTTAGGTTAGGTTAGGTTAGGTTAGGTTATCATTGTAAGATTTCCTTATTTTTACCGGTACTTGTATCTGTACCTGTACTTGTAATTAAACTCGTCTCTGTGTCTGTACTTGTTTATTATATGAGGAAGAGAAGGAGGAAAGGGAAGAAAAAGAGATAGAGGATAAGGATGAAAAGGAAGAGAAAGAGGAAGAGGAGGAGGAAAGGGAAGAAAAAGAGGATTTGGAGGAGGAAAAGGGAGAGAAGGAAGAGGAGGACGAAAGGGACGTGGAAGAGAAAGAGCAAGAAGAGGAGGAAAAAGAAGAAAAAGAGGAGGTGGAGGAGGAGAAGGAGGAGGAAAGAAAGCGAAAGGGGAAGAGGAGGAAGAGGAAAGGGGAGAGAAACAGGAGGAGGAAGGGGAGATGGAAAAGTGCAGGAGAAAGTAGGAGGAGGAGGAGGAGGAAAAATGAATGAGGGAGGAGGAGAATGAGGAAGAGGAGGAGGGAGAGCAAGGGAGGAGTAGAAGTGTATGAGGAAGGAGGAGACGAAAGAAAAAGAGGAAGAGAAAAACTAAACGAATGAAAGAAAGAAAAAACAACAAGAGAATGAGAAGAAAAAGAATGAAAAAAGTTAAGAGGAATAAAAAAAAAAGAGAAACTGGAATCACATGTAAACAGAACTACCCATCCCTTTATATTGACCGTCATGTGCGTGTAAATATGTGCACCACTTGTGTCTGTGTACGTACTGGAAGTTTGTGTACGTACTTAATGACATGGACAGTATTCCTATGTGAGTTCGAATGTGTACACTGAGATAATATTTTAAATTGTATTGCTTAACCCTTTGAGGATGACACACACACACACACACACACACACACACACACACACACACACACACACACACACACACACACACACACACACACACACACACACACACACACACACACACACACACACACACACACACACACACACACACACACACACACACACACACACACACACACACACACACACACACACACACACACACGTTCCCAACTATTCACATTATCGAAAAATATTATTCCATTATTGAAAAAAAATCAACATTTCCTTTTCATGACAACCAAGAAAATGTCGATGGCAGAATGAATCCGAGGAAAAAAACTTTATATTGAAAAGGGTTCTCAATTAAATGTTCCTCGCCAGAGTTCGTGTCTTGAGAGAGAGAGAGAGAGAGAGAGAGAGAGAGAGAGAGAGAGAGAGAGAGAGTTTGTATATGTGTGTGTGTTAAAAACGCTTTACGCATGAATCCTTGAGAATCCGGGTTCAGGTTTTGCCGTTTCAGGAATGTCAACAGAGACGGTGTGTTTATGCTGGCAGGACAAACACTGGTTCCTGCCTTCCGCTTCTTGATGTTAGTTGTACAAACAGGCGGGCGACGCGTTACTCACCTGCCTGGCTGTGTAATGAGGGCAGCCCAAGGTGTTGTGGCGCTGGTACCACTTTCCTGCAACCTTATAGAACCCCTACACACACACACACACGCACGCAGCACGCACGCACGCACGCACGCACGCACGC